TTTATAAATAGGTAATTAAAACAGATGACTAAAATTAAGTCAAGCTGCAGAACATTACCCAGGATGCACTATGTTTTTGTGTTGTTGTTGTTTTTTTAATAAACATCTCAGGCAATTTTTTCCCATCCAAAGCCCAAAGCACTTCAGGAGAAAAAAAAGAAGTAGGAAGTTTCATAGGGGGAAAAAGCATACATATATAATGAAATAACGCCAAACTCCAAACTAAAGTATTTACAAGATAGTCCCTGAAGCACAGTTTGTCATATTGCAATTACACCTTGCCTACTGCCAAATCAAAGTGCTTACTATTTCCACTAGGGGGAGAAATATCTTAACATAACGCAACAGCAGATATGGAACGGGTTTTCTTGAGCAATTATCAGAACAAAGCTCCCTTGGCTGTGTGTACCTTCTAATTACTCAATACAATTAAAATGACTAACCTAAAACAAATAGGAAAAAAACCTGCCAGCCTGATATGAGGGACTTCATTAAACCTTTCCCCCTCATCAATCAAATCAGAAAGAAGGCAATGCCATTACATATTATACAAACACTACAGAGCTATTAAAGGAAGTAAATTCAGTGAGTTTCTTACTTTTTTGTTTATAAAGGAAGTGGCTCTCTTGAAAAAGAAATGTCGTGGTATTTACCCATCTGGATGCTGCTTGAAAACAAACTGTCCTCCTAAGAGCAGAAATACAGTATGTTTTCTCTCAGTTCACTGGCTTATGAATGACTTTTTGTTGTTGTTGTTGTTTTGTTCATACACATGATAATGTCATTTTCTGTGTCAGCGATGTGCTTGTTCCTCCTACTCATCCAACTGTATAAAGGAGCTATGCCAATCAGACCTCCATGCTTACACTGGATTGTTTTAACTTTAAGTTCTTTACTGCTGGTTTCTGTGCATCTACTCCAAGTTAATGTTTAGAACAACACAGGAATTTAGGGGAGGGGTGGGGTGGTAGGAAAGGAAAACAGCTACTTATTCCTTCTAAAAGGCTTATGCAGTTCCTTTTATAAGGCCCAGTCATTAACAGAAGATGACAAGAGAGTCATTTTTCTTCAGCTGACAATTGCGACATTTTTCCAGCAGCCTGCAAGGTGTTGAAAACCTGGCAGCTGTTACCTCCTGGGATGAAGATACTTTTTTATCCTCCCTTGACAGTTTAACTCAGTGGGTCAGCACCTTTAAAGACTGCAAAGTATCCTTGAAGAGGATGGAAGCTTGAATTACTGCTCCCTCCCTAATCAATGTAAACCCTCACTGCAGGTGAAGCCTCCATCTATAGAGGTGCATGGGGGAGGAAAATGTAATGCCCTGAGCCAGATGGTTTTTATCTTGTTTTTAAAGAATAAAGGAACAAGCTAACAAGGGAGACAGCTACTTTGTTAGCTTCTTGGCCTCTCTCATGGCTTTGCATCCCCAGGGTTCCAGCTACACAAGAGAAAGAATACAGAAAAACGTAAACACTTAAAGAAATATAACTAGAGGGCTGGCATCATGCTGCTTTCAAAGAGTTGAGAGGGCTCTACTCAATGCTTTATTTATCACTACCCACGTTCTCAGGATGGTAAGTGGACACATACACAAAGGGAATGGGGGATGGGGGAGGGATTAGACCGAGGTCACAATTTACTCAATTACAGAGAAAGGCAGAGTTGACAGATCCTATTAGCACCAATGTAAAGCTAAGAAGGAGTATGCATGTTGTAAGGCTATGTTTTCAAAAAGTAATGAGTACTTTCATGTATCCTCTCAGGCCTTTGCCCTTGTTTGTAGATATGAATACTATGAACACAGTTGCTATGGTTTTCTGGGCTTCACATTCTAGGAATAAAAGTAAAAAAATTGTAGCTACTCTGTACATCTTTTAAATAAAAGTTTACACTTATAACAACAAGAGGTCAGAAGATTATTCAGAAATTTAGAAAATTAAAAAAATAATCACACACCCCCCACTGCCTTCTAATATTGGATATAAAATGGAAAAGCAGGTATACAAAACAACTTGGTGACATAGGGAGTAATGTCTTCTGACTTTCTCTTTCAATCTTTTTTCTGCTAATGTCTTTGTCAAGCCTTAGAATTATGGTTACAGTAAACTCATAATACAAGTCAGGGAGGGTTCTTTTCTACTCTGTTTTCTATTTTGGTGTTATTTATTCCTCAAATGTTTGATAGAGTTCACCAGAAAACCATGTGGGCCTTTTGATAATTCAGTTTTTCAACAGACATAGGGCTCTTCAAATTTTATTTCACCTTGTTTTGGTATCAGTAAGTTGTGTTTTTCAAGGAACTGGTCCATGTCATCAAAGATGCCAAATATTTGGTATAAAGTTATTTATAATATTCCCTTTTACCTTTTTTAATGTAAGAACTGTAGTGATACTTCTTTCAGTTCCTCTAACAGTTAAATAACTCTAAATTAACAGGCAGTGTTCATATCCTATCAACAATGATTAAACTATACTTTAGAATAATATATATAAACTCTAAAATTAGTTCAAAACAACACTAAATTTATTAGAACATAACAGTATTTTAAAACCAGTGGTTAAAGAGTGGTAAGCCCCTAGAAATACTAGGGGCTTGCATACTAGAAATAGTATGCAAAACAATCTCAAGTTAAGGGACTAGGCCACATGATGCAAATCCTACTTATATCGACATGAGGTAAAAGGCAGCTCTGACACCTTTTTATCTATATAACTTGACTAAAGGCGGGGTATGGAGAGCAAATGGCATTTCATTATTGTCCTATGCATAGAGAAAAGAGGGCGTATAAACAGTTTCTATACTATATCCTACATTAAAAACTCAGTGATGGGGTAATCAAGTTCAGAGCAGTCCTGGACAGCTGCCCTGTGACCCTCTAGTATTGACCCCTGTTATTCATCACTCATCCCTAAGATTGAGAGGGCAAGCTCCTAGGGAGTGACCACCACAATAGACAGACACAAGCCAACAGTAATCTGGTTCCAGCAAAAAAACAGATGGCACTGCAATAAATTTACAAATCTGCATTCATGGGGCTGTTAAAACACCCAGAAGCTAAAAGACTCTGAGGGCCCCAGGAGGATCTCTTACTTCCCCATTTCTAAAGGCCATTTCTCTTTCCAAGAACACTGAGTTCATGCTCTTCACAAAGAGAATAGAGATAAAACCCTTTACAAAGAAAGGAGGGGGGAAAGCCTCATGACCTAATTAATCTTCAGAGCTTGGATCTCAACACTGAATGACAGATATTAGAAAAATAATTTTGGAGCACTAGGAGGATAAAAACAAAACTAAAAAATGCTTGTTAAATTAAAGCAGACGGGGTAAAGAGAACCTGCTAAAAAAGCAATGAAAAAATAAAAACATTAAATTTTTTTCAAACACTGCACAAAACAGATCTTGCAAGTAGAAAATGATTTAATAATGTATGCATTTATTTTTAAAATGAATCAGATTAGTCCCATGTGTGACCTACTGGTCCATCTGTATGTGCTGGACTTAATAGGCACGATTCTCTCTCTTGCTTCAGTTTGAAGTATGAGAGAGATAAATTTAGTTTAATTTTCAACAGATCAGCCTATCCATTTTCCAAATGGACCATCTGGATCAGCCTATTAAAATTAATTTATAACTTTGCAGAGTGAAAATTCGTTTGTTAGCTTAAATAAAGTTGCCAAAACTTTTTGTCATGTCATTGTTTTCTGACAGTTGTTTCTGTGTAGTGGGCAGAGTGTTTCCACTTCCAAATTTATCTTATTCAATTTCATCCTATATATTTAGATTTATAGATCAGGTGTTTATCTCTAAGAGTTAAAACTCTAACTGAACAATATCAATGCTTGATGATCCTCTGGCTATTTAACAAAGCTTCCTGAACAGATTCAATTCTACTTACAATTATTTTTATTAAAAAAATTTCCATCCAAAATTGTTTTAACATAAATAAAAAGTGATGTGTCACAATTTCAATTACTTTCCCCCTAAATTAACACTGTCTACCGACTAGAGGTAGAGGGCGGAAGTAAAAATGCTTTGGCAACACTGAGATCTTTCAAATCACTGACTTGATAATTAAACAAGTCATCAGATCTTTCTCGGCCTCCATTTTCTTCATCTATAAACTGGAAATCATATCTAGCAACTTTATACGGTTCTTGTGAGGGTTAAGTAAAATTAAGTATCAGCTTCACAGTGGGTGCTCAACAAATATTCAATCTCTTCTCCTTCTTCTTAGAATAATGCCATAGATGCAAGTAAATTAAAATTATTTTTACTACTGCTGGTGCTCATTTACTCCAATTTTATATTTAAAATAAATATTTGTGCATACCTATTCTCTGGCAACACTGTAAGAACTTGTTTTTGCTGCCAGTGGGAGATGGAAGATGTTAGAGGTTGCTACAGGCAGTGAGAAGAACCAATTTTTTGACCAAATGTTTTTTAACATTTTAGTTTTTAAAAACAGAGCACCACAGAATTGAACTTTCAAAGAAAATATTATCTTTGAGAAGTCGGGCACTGTGGTGAGTAAAAATTATTTTAAAGTTGTCATTAATATTGGCCTTTACTTCCAGAAAAAGCAAACAAATTTGCTCAGACTTATAGGAGCTAACTTCATTACTGGCAGATCCCTTTTAGTTTTTATTATTTTTCAGCGTATGAAGAATCTTAATAAAAAAGTAAGGTTTAAACTATTCTACTATCTGCATTTAAGATACATTTCAAGTTATTTTCCCCTGAATAAGAAAACTTTCCTTTGATTTTTGTTTTCACTACGTGTAAACAACTGACTGCCCTGTACTTGTACACTTAGGATAATTTTTAAATGACTGGGAAAACAATGTTAACTGATTGAAATTGATGACTTGAGAGCCAGACAAACTTCAGAGTATTCTTAATTTAAGCTCCAGTACTTAACAAATGGCAAATTGAGGGTTTCCTGTCTTTTGTTTTGTTGTTGGTAGCTTTTTATTTTAAGTAAGACTGAATTTCATACCTGTCTAAGTGAATTCTTCTCTGGTATTATCTTCCTAGGGGGTTCGCCATTATTACAGTCTTCTCTCTCTGAGGAATTCTGTGAAAGAAAGTAAGCTTTAATTCAGTTCTCATTATCTTCAATCTTATTCTGTGGGAGTAAACTGAATTACATTTCTAATTCTGTAAGCTAGAATACCGTGTATATTTATGCATTTGTTCATATGAAGATTTATATACATATAGACATACACTTATGTAAAGGAAAACATATGCCCATGTATATAAATAAATGTATGTAGGGACCTAGGTGGGAAAGTATTTCATCTATATTTAAGCACTGCCCAGCAGATCATATTCATTATAAGTCTAGTTTATCATTCTTTGAAAATGCAGGTTGGCACTGGACACGAAAAAGCTCCAATCTATACTTAGCTGATAACAACTTAAGCCAGGATTACTGCCTTCTCTTAAAAGTTTTAAACCATAGTAAAGTTTGATTGGTCCAAGTTCTCAAAGTCGGATCCTAAAAAAAATTTAGTTATTTCTCTTCCTCTCTCAGATTTGATTTTATTAAAAATAGTGCTTAGTTAGCTTAAAGCAATAAAATTTAATCAGGGTTTAACAGTTAAAATCCACTCTTGCCACTGTAAACTCAAATAGCAGCTAGAAGACCCTAAAATGTCAATGAGATGTTTAATACTTAAAAAGAGGGAAATAACAATTCAATTGGAAGCAAGTTCAGAGTTCTAAATATCAACAGAGTAAAAAGGCAACCCATAAAATGGAGGGAAGATTGCAAATTATTTATCTGATAAAGAATTAACATCCAGAATATAGACAGACGTTGTGAAAACTCAACAACAAAAAACAGAACCACCTGATTCAAAAGTGGATGAAGACTTGAATAGAAATTTATCCAAGAATATATACAAATGGTCAACAGGCACATGAAAGGATGTTCAGTATCACTACTCATTTCATAAATGAACAGCAAAACTACAAGGTACCACACATTCATTAGGTAGGCTATTATCAAAAACAAACAAGCAAAAAATAACAGGTATTGATGAGGCTGTTGAAAAATGAACTTTCGTGCATCTTTGGGGGGAATGTAAAATGGTATATCTACTATGGGAAACAGTATGGTTTCTCAAAGAATTAAAAAAGGAATTACTATATGATCCAACAATTCCACCTCTGAGTACATACTCAAAAGAACTGAAAGAGGAGTCTTAAAGAGATATTTGTACATCTGTGTTTGTGGCAGCATTATCCACAACAGCTAAAACACGGAAGCAATGCAAGTGTATGCTGATGGATGAATGGTTAAGCAAAATTCAGTATATACTTACAATGGAATAATATTCAGCCTTAAAAAGGAAGGAAATTCTGACACATACCACAACATTGTTGAATCTTGAAGACATTATACCAAGACATTATACTAAGTGAAATAAGCTAGTCATAAAAAGATAAATACAGCATGATTCCACTGACATAACACACTTAAGAGTGTTCAAAATCATTCATACAGAAGGTAGAATGTTGATTACCAGGGGCTGTGAGAAGGAAGGAATGGGGAATTATTGTTCAATGGGTAGAGTTTCAGTTTAACCAGATGAAAAGAATTATGGAGATGAATGGGGGTGATGGTTGCACAACATTATGGATGTATTTAATATCACTGAACTATATACTTTTAAAATGGTTAAGATGATAAATTCTATGTGTATTTTACCACATTAAAAAAAAACTGAAAAAAATCTGGCAATCCACACATGTAAATCACTATCTGCAAGGCAAAATACAGAAAATTGAAATACACATTATTTGGGCTCTATTTTCCACAATTACATGTATGAGTGTGTGCCAAGTCATTTCAGTCGTGCCTGACCCTTTGTGACCCAATGGACATAGCCTGCCTGGCTCCTCTGTCCATGGGATTCTCCAGGCAAGAATACTGGAGTGGGTTGCCATGCCCTCATCCAATTACATGTGTAATGTTAATATTTTAGAAAGTGCAGCTGATTTACTTATTATATTACATATATTCATCATATTCTAACTGAGGAGTTACTTTCAGATCCAAAAATTATATCCAACATGAGTTTAACGGAAAAATTTCATACAAGTATGAAATCGAATACAGGATCATAATGGTGTTTTAAACTTAGTATACATTTTTTGCATTTTATATCAAGAGGCCCTCTATGGCTAACATCTGTGTGCCTTCTGTGTCACACCTTGATAGGCCAGCACACTAAGGTGTTCCTTTTGGCCAGAAATCTTTTATGAGGTTTAACTTAATATTTTACATTTGTAATGACCACTTTAAGGTCCCTAAAATCAATACAAAGAAAAAGAAAAAAAAATGTTATGTTACAAGCTAGGGATAGAAGCTCAATAACTTCAGAATTCTAACTGCTTTTATTCTCCAATACAAATGAATTGTATTCAATTAAGCCAATATTCAATTTTAAACTTATAATCTGTAAGTAACTACTTCCCAGTCCATGAAGTTACGCACCCTCCTTTAAATAAAATACCATTTCAGATTACCTAAACCTGTTTAATTCAATGTAAGCTCCTATATTTCAAAAAAAAAATTTTTTAATGTCATCATAATAAAGTTGGAAGCTTAATTACTTTCTGGTGAAAGTCTGTTATACTGAAGACATTATAAAGCACATTTTTACTCTACAGGTGCTTGGGATGAAACAAAACTGATGGCAAGCTCTCTACACTAAATTACATAGCAAAAAAACTGTGATCTTAACCTAATGCGATGAGTCAGTTCAGTTCAGTTGCTCAGTTGTGTCCGACTCTGCGACCTCATAGACTGCAGGACGCCAGGCTTCCCTGTCCATCACCAACTCCCGGAGCTTACTCAAACTCATGTTCTTTGAGTCAGTGATGCCATCCAACCATCTCATCCTTTGTCGTCCCCTTTTCCTCCTGCCTTCAATCTTTCCCAACATCAGGGTCTTTTCCAGTGAGTCAGTTCTTCGAATCAGGTGGCCAAAGTATCGGAGTTTCAGCTTCAGCATCAGTCCTTCCAATGGATATTCAGGACTAATTTCCTTTAGGATGGACTGGTTGGATCTCCTTCCAGTCCAAGGGACTCTCAAGAGTCTAGTCCAACACCACAGTTCAAAAGCATCAATTCTTCTGTGCTCAATGGCTATCTAGCCCAAATCAGCAATTTTCTTCCTCCTGACCCTCTATTTTTTCTGATTTAGATGGGAAACTGTTGAGTGAGCATTATAAGAACGTCTAAGGTATTAAAAGATGAAGGGAGCTAAAGGATGATTACTACATTAGAGCAGAACACAGAGCTGAAGAGGAGCTCCTTTCCCTTCTCCATCCCATCAGGGCAAAGGATATATATATTATTTATTTTGTTGTTTAAAAAAAAGGTAACTTTAACATTAACACGCAGGAAAAGGAGAAAAACACTGTTATAGTTAGTTCTTTTTTAGAGAGTTTAACCCAACATTTTTTGCTCTTTTTCCTGACTTCTTTAATCATTTTTTACTTTTTACTGGAACATCCACCATGAGAAAACAAATCAATACAAAAAAATTCAATTATGTTGTTGCTTAAAACAGAGGTAGTGACATTAAACAGTCATGTTATCAGGAGTAAGAAGTAAGGTATCCTTCTCAGAGTGAAGAGGACAGCCAAAAAGTCAGTGAATAAGAAATTAATAGCTCTACAGTCTTGAGGATGGCCGGGAATGATGAAACAGCCAACATACCTGATAGTCACCTTGGTGGTTCTCAAAGACTGTGCTCTCCAACATCACCCAGTTCAGTAGCACAGTTTTCCTTGTATCTTTAACTATGATGCATTCCAATAAGCAATATTCACCGCTGCCCTTGGTCATATCAAGCTAAATGTCCAATTCTAAATCATGTCCAATCAAGCTAAATTAAGTTCTACTTCAGTTCAGTTCAGTCGCTCAGTCATGTCTGACTCTTTGCAACCCCATGAACCACAGCACACCAGGCCTCCCTGTCCATCACCAACTCCCAGAGTTCACCCAAACCCATGTCCATCGAGTCGATGATGCCATCCAACCATTTCATCCTCTGTCATCCCCTTCTCCTCCTGCCCTCAATCTTTCCCAGCATCAGGGTCTTTTCAAAGGAGTCAGCTCTTCACATCAGGTGGCCAAAGTATTGGAGTTTCAGCTTCAACATCAGTCCTTCCAATGAACACCCAGGACTGATCTACTTTAGGATGGACTGGTTGGATCTCCTTGCAGCCCAAGGGACTCTCAAGAGTCTTCTCCAACACCACAGTTCAAAAGCATCAATTCTTTGGCACTCAGCTTTCCTTATAGTCCAACTCTCACATCCATATATACTTATGGGTAATTAAGAGATGCGGGTAAGACTCATCATACAAATTAGCAGGTGACAAATAAGAGGATAGTCACATAATCTCAAAATATTTCTACATAAGATACTTAATAATTACAAAAGAAAAAACAGCCTCACAGAAGAGAGATCTGGTAGAAAACACCTTAACATTATGTGCCTCTTGATATGGTATATTGAGAAGAACACGTTATTACTTCTGAGGTAACCTTGCCCAAAACACATAACCTCAATCTGCTCATGAGAAACAACAGACTAGCCTGAATTGAGGGAAATCTTAGAAAATTTCTAGTCTGTACCTAACAAAAAAAAGTGTCAAGGTCATAAAATACAAAGGAAGACTAAGGAACTGTTACAGGTTAAAGAAAACTAAAGAGACAAAACTGAATGCAGCCTGTGATCTGAAGTTATTTGGTGGGGGGAGGAGCTGAAACAAAATTGATGGTAAACTCCTCTGCACTGACTTACATAGTGAGAAACAAGTGATCTGAGCCTAAGAGGGTGAGTAAGGACTATCGAGCCCATATCCACAATTTTCTTTCTTCTCCACCCTTTACTTCATCTGTTCTTGATGGACAATTATTGAGTGGGTATTATAAATGGGACATAAGGTTTGTATAAAGGACAATATAAGAATTATTGGAAAAATTTGAAACAAGTCTATAGATGAACTAATAAAATATAAATGTTAATTTCCTGGTTGTTTCTCCACTTT